AAAGATAAATGGTAGATGGCATGGTCTACTACAGAGGGATGAGGAGGGATATCGTCGACGTGCCGGTAGAGATTTCCTACACTACACCAGTGCTGATAGTCCTCTACACTTTTGGAATGAGGTATGCTCCCATTGTGGGGGAAGGGAAGGGTTGCCCGATCCATTCTCCTCAGCTTCTCAATGACAAGACCATGGATCACGGGATCGTGGCTTTAGTCCGACTAGCGACCTATCAATACGCCATAGAGAATGAGGACATGGAAGTAACGATATATAGCCGTGAACTGGTGTATGGAGTAAATCAATATTTGCAGGTTGGTGGTATGCCACTGTCAGAGGCGGCTCTAGCTAGCAGTGACGCCAAAACCTTCAACGAGTGGTTGGATAGGAATGTAAGGACTGATGAGCAGGAGGTAGGAAGCAGTTTACGATTCTTTCTTTCACTCATCTCTGGATCATGTAGGCTGGCTCCTTGGCTATGATGCTAGCCGCTTCGGCCCTCAACGTCAGATTCCTAGCAGTCAAACTAGACCGCGATATGAAGACGCCTTTACAAAGACTCGAGTAGTAGCATTCGGATGAAGCTATCTAGGAGTTGGTATAACTCAGCTTAAATGTTGATTCCTTGTTGTAGATTCTTACCCGTTGGCCGTTCCGCTCCAAAGGGACCGGATGAGCGTTGGGACGCTATACTTTTATCCAAACCAGGGCATTATGACGTTCTGTATGAGTCACCTGTAGGAGAGGAGCTGTTCTCTCTACAGAACGAAAACAACGTAAATGGCTTATACTTCCATTGTGTATGCATGTCGTGTGTGTATCAGGTTATAGAGAACTGCTCTTATTGGCGTTGTAAGCCTAAATGCCCGATATGTAGATGTGATATTGAAACGTATGAAGACGTATTATGCGGTGTATCACCAGACTGTGCTGAATTGTTCCATCGATGCTGGTAGTACTTCAGGATGGTTATCTTCCTCCTCCTTCTGCTGCCCCTCACGTACCGCTATCCTAATATTGTGCTTTTCTCGTAGTTTCAAGTCCATGGTGGATCATGATAGCCAAGAACAGTCTGGAGGAAGTTCGTCTCATGTTGTTGTGAGATGTCCGGTTTGCCGCATCGAATTTACTGAAGCCGAAGTCGAGGATGCAATATCTGGCTCAAGAAAGACTGTGTGATATTCAAGTTAACTGATAATTCTCTTGTTCATCAGCGCTTTGTGACATCGTCACAAGTTGTTCAAAAACCTCACATACTTTTGGGTTGTTAGTGAATGCTGCTCGAGTACATAAAATGCTTACCACCTACTATCAAACGAAGGAATTAACCTCCAGTATACAGTCTGCTCCATCCCTAGCCCACTGTAATAGCAGATCCGTCTCTGGCCAAATACATGAATTGAGTAAGAATTGGTAGGTGCCCACTTGGATGATCATGCCTACCACAATAGGATCATCGCTATGCTGATATGCAAATCAATGAGCTGGTTAAATGTCGTATAATCACTCAGACTCTCCAGTGTAGGGAGGGAATATGCAGCCGGATGAGGCTTTGACATGGACAGTGCCGTTATAAGAAGGGGTAATCGGGTGTTATGATGTCGAGTATAATGCATCATACTGAGCTAGTGGAGTTGTGCTTGAGTTGTATAGTAAGTTGTGTATAATTTATAGCTCGACGCCTTCCATGAATATGACGGGAGACGTAGTGCACGATGACCGTGTACAGAAGACCCTAGAGCGTATAGCTGAACGTAACGCGGCATCATGTGATATGATTCGTATCCTTCCTTCGTATCTGCGTAGGTCGATATCACCGGGATGTGGTAGTGCTCTTCACAGATGTTAGGGAAGTGATTGATAACGGGGTTTAAGGAAGCAT